TTTTCTTTTATTTAGCTTTCAGCTTTCCTGTTCCCCACAGGATATGATGTTGCTCAAACAATTTACTTTCAACTTACTCTCAATATGCGGGTATTTCGAACGAACGTTTTAATATCTTTAAGCAAAATCAGGAATAATTGCCTTACCAGCCATTTGTGCTGATATTTGAATTCACGTAATGTATCGGCAGATAGCGGCGCTGTTTTCAAAGAAGGATCCGATAGCCAAGGATGTTCCAAAGCTTCATCGACGGTCATCCTTTCCCTGAAACACACAATCTGGTACAATAGTGACTGAGGTCACGGGGCAGGCCTCAATTTCACGACGCCTAATCGAGCCATTTGCTACTCTCCTACTTCCCCGTACTCTCTACTCCCGGCAGCTGGTGAACGCTGGTGCACGCTGGATAGACGCTAAATCGATATCTATAGTTTTCTAGTCATTGAAACGCTGCCGTATGCCGGTGTACGCTGCCGCATAGTAGGAGCACAGCCTAAGATTGCTCGAGAAGGGTCTGTTAAGATTAATATTATTATTTGTTATATGGGGTCTATTAAGATGAGCTTAGGAACATGTTCAAAGGTAAGTTCTATGCCAATTGCGTGGGGAGGGGAGGGGGAATCGGAAGTACTATTGGTTCAACTCATAGCTGCGCCCTTCCTCTCCTACAGGGTGAAAAGCGAAAACAGCTCATATAAGGCTTAGCCCGCCTATATTACCAGCGTGTACAAGGTGGTACCGTGAGTGAAGTGGTCACAGATGAATAGCTAGGTCTGCGCTACATGCTCTAGCAATAGAAGGCGTGCACCAATAACACCAAGGAGCACCCCGATGCGTCCTCACTCTCTAGGACGTATACAAGCCTTCACTTGGAAATGTCTTTCCATGTAACACGAAGACTCATGTTATGCATTCGATGTCTTGAAGACCTCCCCGCGATCAAGTGGCTCCTCAAAAACTGAACTTCGTGCTTTTGGTAGAACCCTCTACTGGTTTGACGAAGAAATACCACTCTCCAATCCCTCAAATATGGCGCGATACAGGGAAGGTGTATAGCGCAATTCCACAAGGGCTGCTCGCTAGGCCTCGCTGACCAAGGTGGAACGAGGCGTCCGGCTCCGAGCTGCCTTCCCGTCCCTTTAAAGTATCCGATTTCGAAAAGTCGGACCACGCATTGCGGCTTGGCGCATCGATTGTAATGGCAGCCCAGTCGCACACTCGTCCAGGCCCCGCCCCACTGCTAAAGGGAGGTCTGTGTTCATGGTGTTCGCGGAGTTTTTTTTTCGATTTTTTTTTCACTGGGGGTTACAAATGGGCCACTGTTCGTGACTGAACACCAATTACCCGAACACTTGAATCGCCGGGAATTGTCTTTAATAGGAAACTTTATATGAGAACTTACCCAGGAATCTCCATCAGAAGGTGTTTGACGAAATCAGCTGCTTCGGCTGTGAACGGATTCCATTCATCGCCTTTCACTGAGTATGCGCAATTGCTCACATTTGCCAGCGTTTCGCTGTCGTTATCACCATGGAACGGAGAGATACCAGTTAGCCTGAAATCATCAAGCTGATCCATGGCTGAAGAATCTTTCCTCTGCTGACTTTCCCCTATTTCCTATGTAATTTTGTTTTAGAACCGGGGGAAAAATAGGAGATTCAGAAAAGCAGATTTATTGAAGAAATCTCTGGAATACTTCGAAATTTTCCAATCCCGTAAGCGATAAAAGAGTAAGAGAAGAGCGTAGTAATCACGTACAATACATAGGTGAGTGTGCCAACGCTCCACATATCCGTTGCCAGGGTAAGCGGATATCCACGCACGATTTCTGGTGAAACGAATTCGGGCGATCCTGTAAACACTGCCGTTGTGTGAAATGACAATATTTTACGAAAAAATTTTTTAGCATCGCTATTTTAGCAGCTGTGGTTCTCGGTACAATTCACTACGCAAAGGTCATCACAATACTGCTGAGTTATGGACAAAGCGCTCTGCTTTTTCTGGGAAACAGCATCTGAGGCTTGGCTTTGCAAATGTAGTAACATTACACCACGGGCTAGTGTTGTGGTAACTGGTATGCTTCTTGATAACTTTGGTGCAGTTCGGCCTTGTGGGGGCAGGAAACGGTATTTACCAAGGTTCGCGCCACCTTGTGACGACCTGTAAATTCGTGTAATCGGAATAGCCCTATTTATTCCATTTTGCAGCTTCATAATATTTTACAGATCTCACTAAACTATGATCTGTTAATCAAAAGGAACTAGCAGAAGGAACTAGTGAAAGCGCAAAATGCCCTCCCCAAGGCGAACAAAATACCGACATAACCTCTAAACCTACGAAAACTCCTTATTCTAGCTCGTGGCAGCTTTCTCAAATAACACCGCCCTATGGTGCATGATTATGAGAAGAAGTTACAGCAAGCGCGGGTTGGCTTGGCGAGGCAGGAAACGGTATCAACGAAGCTTGTGCAGGTCGCCTCGTGGAGACCAGTGAACTCTTGCTACTAAAGCATTTGAGATGTGAAATTTCGCTTTACAAGAGTTCACAGGTCTCAACAAAGAGACCTGTTAGTAAGATGGACTTGCAAAAGGAACTAGCGGAAGTGCAAGACGCCCCTCAAAGTCAAACATCGTACAGAATTTCATATTTAGATTCAATTGCATCTAAGGACGTCAGTAGGGATGACAGCACCAATGACCACATTGCAGAGTTTGACAGTATCAAAAATAGTGGGTAGTCATAGCATTGAAAAAGCTTGCCTTGAATTTTTCCGGTGATCAGTCCACGGAGAAGTCTCCTGAAATTGAAATATTTGATGATTAACAATAATCAATAATAATTGTTCGAAACTCCTAAAAAACCAAATGGAGCTCTAAGAGCTTTCTAGACGTTTTGCTTGAGTATACTTGGGGATTTTACCATTAAAATAGATTCCGTAGCTCGATCTAGCCTACCCATTGTTCTCTGTAAGCTCAAATGTATTGTACATTCCGCGCTAACTGCATGGTCGGAGACAGCAAACCATCTCATTGGGTGCGCGAATTCTCTGACGGAAACAGCTCTTCCCTGGTTAAACCGGTTAGGTCCTGGCGCGGATGTGGCGCACGTGGTGTCGCTTGTGACACTATCTTCGCTGTGGGTATATAACAGGACAACCGCTGTTCGATTAGCGATTTTGCTTGCAGTAAGCAACTGCGTAGTTCGCGGTCGCATATAGTATGTTCTGATGAACTCCTGCTTACTAGTATAGTATCTGAGAAGGGGAGAATCCTGAGCTACGGGAGTGCTAGCGTTATTCCAAGGACACCTTACCGCGTTCTAGCGTTGCGTATTCGTGAAGAAATCAGAAATGACGTAAAATGCAGACGAGTGGGGAAGCGCAGAAGTTGGCGGAATCTGCCCAGAACAAGCAGTAGACTACCGCCTATCGACTCATGAAAGAAATGCACGACCAATGCCGAAACTCGCAGCACCGCTTCGAAAAGCTGGCAGAAATGACCAAAAGCATTCACAACTACGTACTCCGCATCCTGAAGAATGCAGCAAATCCCGAAAGCCTGACAGAAATGCGCGAATCTGCAGAAACTGCCCGCACCGTGCGAACTGTGCAGAAAACCAACCCGATACGTACTCAATTTTCCCACCACTTTTCGGGCAACTTTCCGCAGCTTCCCGCACTTCTGCATTTTCCATCATTTCTACATTTCTTCCGAACGCAGCTATGACGGCCTTACTGGCCTTACTCGGACTGCCACACCCATTGCGCACGATGCGCCGCTCGTGACGGCTCGACAAACTGCAATTGTCTTGACCATCTCCCCACCGCTGTGCAGTGCATGCAAGATCTGTCATCCCCGTCGCCAAGTGCCTTCTCATCAAGCTACCCTGCACTCCAAAACGCCTCACCTTGACTGGCCAAAATCGGCCAGTTTCAATTTGTTGTCCTGCAGAAGAATCGTCTCCGGTCTGAGGTCAAGATGAGCTATCCGCATATCATGGAGGTGTTTCAGTGCCAGTAATAATTGCCTGAAAATGCAACGATAAAAAGACCAATTTCAGTGGTACGAATAGAAGTTGCACGTTCACATACCGTACGAATATCTGTACCATACGTTCACGATCCTCTCCAACTGGCTCTCCAACGCTCACTCCCGGATGGGCGAACGAGTCGAGGAGAGCGCCCGTGGCACTGAAACAATTGAGCATTCAGACGATTGCTGATGTCACGCCTTATAAAAATATCTGACTGCTTTCAGAGTCATGTGGGAAAAATTTCCCACCACTTAACCTCCACAGCCCCGATTTCCGGATTTCCGGCCAGATTTTGATCAAAGCTGGTGATATATAGCAGCGCACAACGCCCAATTTTCACGGTCAACCC